TATGGCTGATCTTCACAAAGTTGCTACACACTAAATATGTTATTTTTAAAAGGAAAGTCATCAGATTCTTCCTACCTCAAGGAAGAGTATTTCTCATTTATACAAATTAGAACTGAACTTTGTACAATAACTAAAAGTAGTATGTGCAATCAGTTTCAGAATAAGAATTCCTCTTTAATCACATAGCTCATGTCTGTCTGTCAACATTGTTGTTAACTACTCAGTAACACACCTAGTTCATTTTTTAGTCCTTTGATAACAACTGAACAATGGCTCTGACATGGTATCTTTAACCCCTGCCCGACACCAGCAACCCAATCCCCACGATCAGCGCCCTTTACACACAGCTGTTCCTCAGATAAAACCTTCGTAGGAAGCAGCGTGGTTTCTTATGTTGTTGTCAGTTGGCTTTGTCATGTGCAGGATCACAGACGGGTGAAAGACCGACAGCAGTTGTTTGACATCATTCTGGTGTAAATCAGTGGCAGTAGACTAACTTAGTACTCTTTGTTTCCATGCCAGATAAATGCCCATAATAAACCGGTAGATGTTTGCATTGTTATTGTGGACTTTACGACCCCACATTGTCTGGGCCACTTCTCTCTCGTATCAGAAACAAAGGACAAACTCAGTCAATTTAAAATTCAATAGGCTCACAACAAGTAGGCTGACAGACAGCAGCTTTTTTTAGCATAGTCTATTAAAACATTATAATAATACAAGTCCTTTTTAACCAAACTCAAGTCCATTCTATAGAGCATATCTGTGTGCAGCAAGCAACAATAACACACAAAGTGCAACTGCAGCTGCCAAACAGATTTGTCAAGCAGATTCTGGTGTCCCCATTTTGGCCTTTGCCTTTGTTCCAAGAGGTTTTAGCAGAGAAGAGATTAAAACAAAGAGCTCTCCCTCTGTCCTTTTTTCATTTGTACCAATATGACAATGGACCACATCCTTATTAGGTTCGAGATCTATTTGGTTCACATCTTCACATGCAAGTTCACTTTTAACTGTTATTTTTTGTGTTTTTGTTGAAAAAATAAACATTTTTGTGTCAAAGGGGATAGGGCATACTTATTATAGTGGTCGGCCACAGTTGGGTTTTCATTCCAATCTGATGTTGTGTCTGGCATTGCTTTGCCATAACATCGCCTTGGGCTTGAATATAGTGCTGTGTAACTATTTTTAGTGCGTTCACACTGTCGAGCGTGGCTAAACAGCTCTTATTTGTTTTGGCACAATGTTGGCCTGCTACGGTTAACATCTACTTCAAACTACTTCGAAAGGGAGTGAGTGAGTCTGTCAGCCACTCCGGACTTTGTACGCCAGCACATGAGACCTCTGGCTCCGTACAAGTCAAAGAAACCAGAACAAAATGTTCGCCACGGAAAAAAACGAACCCTCACGTGCGCACGTGGACGCGCACCGAATAGCAGTGACCAATCAGCTCGCGGAGAGTGGCCCATCTCTCGCTTGGACCCTCTCCCCCACAATCTCCCCCACAATCTCCCCCGCTCACACGCCCGGTGTCACCCGTCCAACAGAACCGTAGAGAAACAAATCCAGGCCGTGGTTTCATTTCGAACCGCGTCTTCATCAGATACGGATCGTCTTCCTCGGAAGTTTTTAGGTACCAAACTTATCGGTTGCTATGGCTGCGAGTTCATGCGAGGCTGGTGGAGAGGGAAGTGACGACTGGGGCTGTTGTTGGGACACGTGACTGGAGCTGCACTGATCTGTTTTGACAAGCAGTGGGGAGGGAGGGAAGTGAGGGGGGGGAGGCAGACTGTAAGCATCACGACCAGGAGGACTCACTGTTCCTTTCATCTGCATTTCGCCTGAATAATATCAGCATCGACCCAGACTTGTAGCTGTAGCAGGCAGCCGGCCCGTCCGCGGTGACTAACACCAGAGAGACACCAGCCGCTGCTCGGTTGACGTCGCCGTGACACCGACGCGTTGGAGCGGAGTCGTGCTATTTGTTGTCGGTCTGAAAAGTTTTAACGAAGAGCGAAGAGCGCAGAGGAAGTCAGCACAGGTGGCGTTTCTAGCGTTGAGTAGATGGCGACGGTGGGTGGGCACAAAGTGGACCGCGTCCGGTTGACATTTCGTGAGAAGAATGATACGCTGAATATGTTCTCGTCGTAGCTTCAAAAAAAAAAAAAAAAAAGGGCTACCGACCGAGACCGTCCGTCTCCGGAATCGGCGTTTGTAGCTGAGCTGCGGCTACCTGCGCTACAGTGGGGGTTGGGATGTGTGGGACGTCGTCGTCGCCAGTAGACACTTAACCAACCGCAGAGTCGCCGTAAAAGTTAGTTAGTAGTGTTTGTTATCCAGCTCACACTGCTGAGTTAGCCCCCCCCACCACCTCGTTGTGGCAGAGTGCCGTTGCGAGGAGCCGACGTTACCGGAGAGGAGACACAGACATGCATCGCGACGTAACTATGGTTCAGGTGGTGGAATTTGAGACGGGCTATAAGAGGAGTCAGCTTGCTAGTTAAATTATTATTAGGCAGATTGGTTGACAGCCACATTACCTAACGCGGACTGTTACTGGCATTATCAGCTGTCTGTGTGGACAATACAGTGCGACTCAATGGGAGCGTACAGTAGCATGCTAACAAAGCAATGCTTTGTTGTTGGATAGGGGGCAGCTGGCACCAACTCACTGCCTTCACAGCTGATATTATTGCTTAGCAAGTACAGCAGGTCTCAGTCTCAGAGGGTTTGGGTTTGGGTTTGGGGGGGG